GCTGGGTGGCTCCCGCAATAATTTCTGCAAAGGTCTTCATCCAAGAGCTCTGGCGCCTCCGCGTAAGTTGGGATGAGACCCTTCCCGAATCGTCACTACGTAAATGGCAAACTATTCGCACTGGCGAGGTCTCGATGGCGTTTCCATTCCGCGCTGAACCGGGTTACACCCCACTTCAACCGTCGTTGAACTCCACGGATTTGCCGACGCTTCGACTGTCGCGTACGCGGCTGTTATTTACCTAAAGGTTGTCTCCTCTACCGGAGAGACAACCGTCTCCTTAGTAGCTTGTAAATCGAAAGTTGCGCCTCTCAAGCCTCTTACAATACCGCGCCTCGAATTGTCAGCGGCTGTTCTATTGGCGCGGTTATTTGCATTCGTTCGTGCTTCTATATGCTTCCCACAAATTCAATGCTTCTGGTGGACTGACTCTTCCGTCGTCTTAGCATGGTTAAGCCAACATCCATCGCATTGGAAAACCTTCGTGACTAACAGAGTGACCACGATCCAGTCTGTTCTTCCAAATGCGGAGTGGCGTCATGTACCTTCGAGCGACAACCCCGCTGACTGCGCGTCTCGTGGTCTTATGGGAAACGAACTAATCGAGAAAGCTCTTTGGTGGCAAGGCCCCTCATGGCTCCGCGAGCCTGAATCCGGATGGCCTTCCAAATTAACCCCTTCGGACGATTCCGCCGCATCCGAACAACGTGTACTGACGTGCCACGCAACTGCCCAAACCCCAACTTGGAATCTCGCGACGCGATTTTCCTCGTGGACAAAATTGATACACGTGACAGCTTACATAAGACGGTATGCGAACAAGTGTCGCTCAAGGGCACGCCTCTTATTAGCCGCCTCTTCATTAAATAACCCTCTCGCTCTCACTGCCGAAGAGTGTGCGGCTGCCAAAGTGTTCTGGCTAGCCCAAATTCAACAAGAAATATTCAGTAAGGACATTCAAGCCTTAAACAATGCCAAACCCTTAGCTCGAGAAAGCCGCTTGCTAGCCCTAACTCCTTTTCTCGATAAAGACAGGCTCCTTCGTATGGGTGGACGACTGCAGAATGCATCCCTGTCATTTTCGGCCAAACACCCCATTCTACTCGGGTCGTACCCTCTTGTTCAATGCATCATTGAGCACGTGCATTTAAAAATGTTGCATGCCGGGACCCAATTGACCTTAGCTTGCCTCCGACAGGAATATTGGATTCTCCGTGCCCGGAATCTAACTCGTTCAGTAATTAATTCATGCGTTCAGTGCACCCGTGAAAGAGCCCGCAATAGTACGCAGTTAATGGGGAACCTCCCGGCCCCGAGAGTCAATCCCTCGTCGAGGTGTTTCGAGCACTGCGGTATAGACTATGCCGGGCCTGTCCGTGTCCGCCCTTCCGCCGGTCGAGGTCGGACCTCAATAAAAGGCTACATTGCCTTATTCGTATGCCTGGCTACCAAAGCCATCCACCTTGAGTTGGTCGCAAATTATTCCACACCCGCCTTTTTAAACGCGCTTTCACGGTTTTGTTCCCGTCGCGGTCTCCCAGCAGCCATTTATTCAGATAATGGCACAACTTTTGTTGGAGCAGATCGTGAATTAATACTCGCGCACCGAACCACGTTGCACGATCCGAACTTCCTAAACAGCACTTCGTGCAATGGGATAAAATAGAATTTTATTCCCCCCTCAGCGCCTCATTTCGGTGGCTTGTGGGAGGCCGGGGTCCGGAGTGTCAAGCACCATTTGAAACGCGTCCTCGGTGATTCGACCCTTACCTTCGAAAAATTCTATACTCTGTTATGCTTAATAGAGGCGTGTTTGAATTCCCGACCAATAGCTCCCCTCTCCGATGCCCCGGATGACCTTACCCCCCTTACTCCCGGTCATTTTCTAATCGGGACTTCGGTAACCACCCCTCCGCAACCCTCACTCCTTCATCTAAAGGAAGACCAATCGCGATGGTATTTAGTTCGCCAGAAGGCCGAGAGATTTTGGAAAATTTGGCAAAACGATTACCTAAATACCCTACAACAACGCAGCAAATGGCGCAAAAAACTCCCATCGCTAAAAATCGGTCAGCTCGTTCTTGTCCAGAATCCCCTGCTTCCCCCATGTAAATGGGAACTAGGCAGAAATACTCAATTACACCCCGGCAACGACGGGTTAACACGCGTTGTAACGATTAGGACAGCGAACATTACGTTAAACAGGCCCATTGTCAAACTATGCCCATTACCGGTCGACACTGAGGAATGAGTGCTAGTGCCACTGTCAAAATAAATTACGATCCCGAATATGTACGTCTCTGCGAGACTTCCCTCTCCCCCCCATTGCGAGCGTCCTCGTGTTCTTACGTCTCATTGATAGGTAGTATCGCCGTCATAACAACGCAGACCCACGAATGTACGTCTCTACGAGACAAACCCCCCTCTCTCCGCGCGCGACCTCGTACTACGCGGGTTTCGAAACTAACGTTTCGAGGCGGGCGGTATGTTCGAGAATCCAACCAAAAAGGTAAAAGCAAACCGTTAGAACCGCGAAAAATACACTTTTTCTAGTCACCGTTCCACAACATCAGCAAAAGTCGTTGGCGGTGTCTTGTTTTTCTAGCCTAGCTGTTGTCGCGACTCCAACCGTCAAACCGGCGGACGGCAACAGCTAAGCCAATCAGGCGATCCGCGGAACTTCGCTCTTTGTTTAGATCCTCGAACTGCCGCAACGGAGAAAAATTGAATTCTTCAATCACGAAATCCAGGCAATTACATATAAGAGCGTGAAACCCTTGGGCGCACTACTGGTTTTCGAATACTCACGTGAACATAATCGCTAAAGAACGTCTCTGCGAGATTAACTCAGTTTAAGTTACTTAGCTAAGCGCGACCGCGTCGCCGAATAAAAAGAACTTAGACTCTATATCAGCGAAGCCGCTGAGGGTTCCCTAAACTTGAGAAAACCATTATATCAGTGGCCCTCAAAGCTTGCCTTAGATTTCTTAATAGCTCCGACCCAGCAATCCTAGAATTAGCGCACGAATCTTCTATCGAAAGAAGGGCTATTAAATTAGTAGCTAGAGCTAATATTGCCTGGTCCTCACTTAATGTTAAGGCTATGGATGATTTTAAAATAAACTTCAAAAGAGCCGAAGCGAGGATCTGGGCGAACCTTTCATCTCAAGCAAAAGGTGTTAAATCTTTCCTTGACGACAAAGTGGGGAACGAGTGGCTATACAGCCCAACTCTTTTAAAACCGAGTCGGTATATTACTACTCTAAAAATGCGCGCCAACGTGGCAGCAGACAAAGTCTCCCTTAACAGAGCAATAAAGTCTTACGCAGTTCTTTGCCGGCATTGCAAGGTCGTACCGGACACTCTTGGACACATCATAGGTCAATGCATATATACAAAAGGTCTCCGCATAAAGCGGCACGACGAAATATGTAAATTTATTTTCGATAAAATTCTTAATAGCTCATCGTCGAGTATTATTACTAGAGAACACACACTTAGCTGCCCTGGCGCTGGCACCCTGAAGCCTGACCTGATCATACATAATCAGAACAAGGTCTTTATCGCTGACATCACGGTGTGCCATGAAGATGGCTCCCAGCTCTTTAATGCAAGGGCAAATGAAATAGAAAAATATTGTAACGCGATAACTGAGGCGCGAACTCCCGGAGGAGCAAGCCGTGAAACAGTCGGAAGAAGCGGATGCCATCGAGAACATCCCGCCAGACTCATGGTACAGCAGAACCAGCCAAGCCGTACGCAGCAACTCGGAGCAGCATCCTGAGTACCGCTGGCAGGACAAGCGACTGTATCGGTATTTCCCGGAGCACACGGGCCTCCGCCCCGATCAGGATTGGAAACTATGCGTCCCCAAGACCGAATGAGAGGCCATCCTCAGGGCTATTCACGATGCACCCACCACCGGACATCTGGGGATAAGCAAGACCATTGCTCGCTTAGCCCAGCGCTACTACTGGCCAGGCATGTTCCGGGATGCTGCTCGCCATGTTTGGAACTGTCAAAGCTGCCAAGAGTACAAGGCGCTGCAGAGAGCTCCAGCGGGCAAGATGAAGACCACTCCAGTCGAGGATCCATGGGTCGTGGTTTCGATTGACTTAGTAGGATCACTTCCCCGCTCAACAAAGGGACACACCGTACTGCTAGTAATGCAGGATAAATTCTCAAAGTGGGTAGAACTACATCCTCTCCGCCAGGCCACCGCACCAGCCGTCACAAGAGCCTTGCGGGAGAAGATAGTGTTACGTCACGGCTGCCCACATTGTGTCATCACCGACAATGGCCGCCTGTTCGAGAGCCGAGAATTCACGACCTTGCTGCAGAAGTGTGGCATCCAGCACCGGAAGACGCCATCCTACACTCCCCAGTGCAACCCCGTTGAGAGAACCAACCGCGTGATCAAAACCATGATCGCACAGTACGCGAAGGAGGACCACCGCACTAGGGACCAGTGGATTGCCGAAATAAGCTTCGCATACACCACTGCCCGTCACGACTCAACGGGATACACTCCGGCGTTTTTAAACTATGGCAGAGAACTCCGTGCACCCGAGGAACCAGCCACCTGCCCGCCAACCGAGGTCCAGCCCCGACAAGAGGCCATCGACTAGCTAAAACAGGCAATAACGTTGGCGCGAAGAGCGTTGGCAGGATTCTACGTCCGCCAAAGTAAATACTACAACCGCCACCGAAGAAGCTCCGCTCCGGCCGTAGGGGATATGGTAATGCAGAAGGTATACCCGCTCTCCTCCGCAGAAAAGAAGTTCAACGCCAAGCTAGCCCTTAAATACGCTGGACCATACCGGGTTACAAAGTTCCTTGGGCCTATAGTAGTCCTGCTACAGGGGCCGCGCGGCCGTCTGCGGCGCGCG